TTGAAGGGGTCCCATTTCGTGACATGTATGACCTGGCCAAAAAAGCTACTAGGTATGAGTTGGTCCTCAAGGAGGAAAAAGAACAGAAAAATTCCTCTAAAGGTACGTACTATAGGGACCCCAATTATGAAGTTTTTTCAACTGATGTGGTTGAAGAAGAAGATATTGATTCTAATCTTGTTGAGATTAATATTAAGAAGCCTTATGTATGTAAGGCTTTGACAAACCAAAGGCATCTACCAGTGATACTCAGCCATCAACATCATCGGTCAGGAAGGGCACGGCCGACACTGCTAAGGTTTATACGTTTGACTTGGCCAAGACAGAATAAATATTTGATCATTTGTTGGTCGACAAACAAATTCTTCTGCCAAAAGGACACAATATACCATCAGCCACTGAATCCAAAGGAAAAGAGTTCTACAAATTTCATAATTCATGGAATCATAATACTAACAATTGTTATGTATTTAGAAATGTATTGCATAAAGCAATTGATGAAGGTGTATTAAAATTTCCTGAAAAAGAAGCCAGATGTGATGGGGGTCGATGGTGATCATTCCCTAATATTGTACATACCAACGTTATCAGCCTGGCACTTGAAAAAGCCGCTGATAATAGTAAGCAAGAAAGATCACCAAAAATTCCTGATCATCATCAGCCAGCAGTAATGAGCAAAGGTTGAAGGACTTAGAAAATCAATTGAGGGAGGCTCAAATTGCCTTCATCAAACATGGTTGTTGCCCAAGTTGCAAAGGCCATGGAAATAATCAAGACAAGAGGAGCCATTTTCAATCGACCAAGAAGCGCAGTGTCCATGATAGGTTGGGTTTTTAGTCTAGACAGAATCATAAAGAAATCAATCGGTCATTATTCAGAGAGAAATGGCCGAGGGCAGTAAGAATCATTCGGTTAGAAAGATCTGTGGCCAATAGAGTTCTTCCAGAGTAACAATCCTATCCTAGTTTCAAAAGGAAGCCAGTAATTCAGTTAAAAATATGGGTTCAAAAGGGGAAAGAATCTAGCCACGTAAGAACGGTTAGACCTCCTTTGGTTGACCATGGCAAATGGACTCGAGTGAATCATCTGAAGTTTCCTAAGCAGCCTCCTACATGTACTCAAAAAAGGAGGATGCAAAGGAAAATGTAGAACTTAAAAGGAAAGAGGATAAAATTGACCAGGTTCAGCCAGCTAAGGAAGATGAACCAGGGGAGGCTGAAGACATAAATGGTGATATATCTTTTGGGAATGAGACATCCTCTTATGAGGAGAAAGATGATCAGCCAGATCAAGATCCAAAACATACAGCCAAGTACAAAATTCGTTTTAGCTCCCTTTTGGATGAGGTAAATTGTAATATGGTATTTGTTTTACCTTCTGTGTTTGAAGTAAAGACAGAGCCAATGATGAACAGGGATGTTAAGTCAGCCGAGCCTAAGGATGAGGCTGAATCTTCATAAATCAAGAATGACTCAAAGAGTTCATTGGCTGGGGTAGGATTGGTCTCTCAAGGCCAGCCAACTAAGGTCGATAAAGTCATCTTTGAAAAACCACCTTTGGCCATGACACAGCAGTTAAGGCTGTTGTATGTTAAAGTACGGGTTGAAGGTCAGCCAATTAATAGGGTGTTGGTTGACAATGGTTCAGTGGTAAATGTCATTCCAGCAACTACTTTAAAGAAATTGGGCAAGACCATGGATGATGTGGTTCCAACCGACGTAGCCGTCAGTGATTTTAATGGGGGATCTAGTAACACCAAAGGTATTCTGCCTTTGGAAATTACTATTGGTGTCAAAACATCCTTCATGACCTTCTTTATTATTGACTCAACTGCGGCCTATAATCTCCTTTTAGGCCGAGATTGGATTCTCCCTAACATGTGTATCCCGTCAACATTACATCAAATGTTGATTTTTTGGGATGGAAATGAGGTAAAAATTGTTGAGGCCGATAATAAACCCTATATAGCTAGGGTGTATTTAGCAGAGGCTGCACTTTATAATGAAATTGTTGTACCTATCAAATTTGTTGCCACTAATAGGATGGGATGACCAGCAACAGCAATAATAAAGAAAAACTTGGTTAATACTGATATTAAAGAGTTATTAACAGAAGTAGTTCGGCCAAAAATTGATATTTTCAAGTCGACCATCAAGGAAATTGAAGACGTTTCTGATGGATCACACAACTAAAGAAGAAAAGAAGCGGCAAGCTTTCAAGGCTGCTTGCATAAGATTGAAAGCATATCTGGCTGAGAAAAGATTGGCCAGAGAAGAGCAGTTAAATGAAGAGGTATCGGCCAGTACGGTCGATATAGTTCAAGAAGGTTTTGAAAAGTTAGATGCAATCCAACTTGAAGATCTGGAGTCAGCCCCTTCCATCATTATTTGTTAGTGCTTTGCTTGAGCCTAAATTTCAGGCCAATTTGATCAATTTATTAAAGGAATATAAGGATTGCTTTGCTTGGAGTTATGAAGAGATGCCTGGCCTATCATGAGAGTTGGTAGAACATAGATTGCCTATCAAAAAAGATTTCCAGCCTTATAAACAACCACTAAGGAGGATATCCTTGGAAGTGATGCTTAAAATTAAGGAAGAAATTGAAAGACTTCTTAAGGCATGATTTATCCGAACAGTTAGGTATGTTGAATGGTTAGCTAATGTTGTTCCTGTAATAAAGAAGAATGGCAAACTTAAGATTTGTGTAGATTTTCGCAATTTAAATAATGCCACTCCAAAAGATGAATATCCAATGCCAGTGGCCGATCAACTTATTGATTCGGCTGCTAAACATGAAATATTGTCTTTTATGGACGACCATTCAGGTTATAATCAAAGCTATATAGCCGAAGAGGATATTCCCAAAACGGCTTTTAGATGTCCTGGGTTAATTGGTACTTTTGAGTGGGTTGTAATGCCATTCGGCCTAAAAAATGCCTGAGCCACTTATCAAAGGGCAATGAATTCAATCTTTCATGATATGATTGGCCAATTTATAGAAGTTTACATAAATGATGTAGTCGTGAAGTCATCGGCCAAAAAATAGCATTTGGAACATTTGAAAAAGGCTTTTGAAAGGATGAGAATCCACAAATTAAAAATGAACCCGTTAAAATATGCTTTTGGGGTCTCAGCCGAGAACTTCTTAGGATTCTTGGTACATCAACGAGGCATAGAACTTGATCAGAATAAGGCCAAACCTATTATAAATGTTATGGCCCCAACCAATAAAAAAACAGGTACAAAGGTTTCTCGGCCAGATAGGTTTTCTTAGAAGATTTATTTCTAACCATGCTGGCCGAGTACATACTTTTTCTCCTTTGTTAAAATTGAAGTCATATGAAAATTTTCATTGGGATGAATCCCATCCGAAGGCCTTTGACAAAATAAAAGAGTATTTGGCAAACCCCTCGGTAGTGATGCCTCCAAGGAAGAAATGGCCATTGAAACTTTATTTATCAGCTACAGAGGAATCAATTGGGAGCATGCTTGCTCAGAATAATGAACTTGGAAAGGAACAGGCTGTTTACTATTTAAGTAGAGTACTAACTGATGTTGAATGCAGATATTCTTCAATTGAGAAGCTTTGTTTATCTTTGTATTATTCAGCCATGAAATTAAGGGTATATATGTGGCCGGTTGATGTCTATATTCTTTGTCAAACTAATGTGATTAAATATATGCTATCAAGGCCAATGATCACTAGCCGAATAGGTAAGTGGGCATTAGCCTTAATGGAATTCAATTTTATTTTTGGCCCACAAAAATCAGTTAAAGGAAGGGTTCTGGCTAATTTCTTGGCCTATCATCCTTCAACTGATATTGATCCACAGGTTTATGATGAACTAGAGTCATCAGCCATATTTCAAACTCCTTGGATATTGATGTTCGATAGATCAAGCACGGCCGACGGAGTGGGGCAGGTATTGTTATTATTTCACCAGCTGGAAGAAAGACTTCATTTTCAATTTTCTTAGATTTTAAATGTTCAAATAATCAGGCCAAGTATGAAGCACTTATAATTGGCCTAGAAATTTTAATTGAAATGGCTATTGGTGATGTAAAAATCTTGGGAGATTCAAACTTGGTATTTAGTCAAATTACTGAAGATTTCAAATGCTTAAGTTGGCAATTAAGGCCATTTCACTCTCTGGCCACTTCATTGATGAATCAACTTGATAATGTTCAACTTAAGTTCTGGCCAAGAGGACAGAATAAAGAGGCCAATAACATGGCCCAGGCAGCCTCTGGAATTAGAGTACCAGTTAGAATGGAAGATCAGTTGATAAAAATAACACGAAGGACCTTGCCTTCAGCCGAATTAAGAAATATTATGTTGGTCGATTCCTGGGTAATTGATTTAGAGGATCTAGCCGATGATGATTGGAGGATACCATTCATAATGTTTCTCCAAAATCCAAACATCAAGGCTGATAGGGGTATTAAGAGAAGAACAATCAACTTTCTACTCCTTGATGGGGATTTATACAGAAAAGGCCTTGAAGATGGACTCCGATTACAATGCATAAGTAAAGAAGAGTCACTTCAAGTTATGGCCGAGGTACATGAAGGTAACTGTGGAGCCCACCAAGCAGGAATTAAAATGAGATGGCTGATTCAAAGGTATGGATACTATTGGCCAAGAATGAGAAAAGATTGCATAGATTATGCAAAAGGATGTCAGGCCTGTCAAAAACATAGGTTGATTCAAAATGTACCAGCAAAAGAATTATAGCCAATAATCAAATTATGGCCGTTCAGGCTTTGACCTCATTGGTAAAGTGAATCTACCATCAAACGAAGGCCATCACTGGGTGATTGTTGCCACGGATTATTTTACTAAATGGGTTGAGGCCAAAGCTTGTAAAATGGTTGATCAACAAACAGTGATTAACTTCATGGAACAACATATTGTCCACAGATTTAGAATCCCAGAAATGCTTGTTTCAAACAATGCAATAGTGTTTAGGGCAGCAGATGCGCTATAATTCGGCTACAATATGAACATCCATATGTCAGCCTCTGCACCATACTATGCCCAAGCAAATGGTCAGGTTGAGTCCTCAAACAAAATTTTGATAGAGATCATTGAAAAAATGATCAAAGATAAACCAAGAAGATGGCATGAGACTTTATTTGAGGCTTTATGGGCCTATAGAAATTCAAAAAGAACAGGCACAGGAATCACACCATATATGTTAACTTATGGACATTATGCTGTTCTGCCTATGAAAATGAAGGTTAAATCGGCCAGAGTTGCATTCCAAAATAATCTAACTCTGGCTGATTACACTCAAGCAATGTTAACAGAGTTGGAAGACTTGGATGAAGTTAGGTTGGATGCTTTGGATCACATTATAGCTCACAAAAAGAAGGTAATGAGGATCTACAACAAAAGGATAAAACCAAAGTCTTTTGCTGAAGAGGATTTAGTGTCGAAAGTTATTCGGCCAGTGGGTAAGGTTGATAGAAAATATGGGAAGTGGTCCCATAAATGGGAAGAGTCATACTTAATTCATGAAGTCCTAAGTGGAGGAGCATACAAGTTGAAGTATCTTAGTGGCCGATTGCATGATTACCCCATTAATGGCAAATATCTCAAGAGGTATATGCCAGCAATCTTTGAAAGGGAAAATTAAAGTCAGCCAGTACCTTTGTCTAACCATGTGTACCTTTGTGTAACAAATTCGGCCTATTTATTAGGCTGATTTAGTTTTTTAAATTTTAATAAAAATTCTTGCTAAAGTACTTATATTTGTTTAAAGCAACAAAGGAGGCCATTTATTTATTGAAGTGTAGAAGGATTACATCATTTGAGTTCATACACTTAAATGGCCACAAAAAGGGGGTCCCACTAAAAAAAGATTTACATATTAGCAAATTTCTCCTTGAAATCGGCCTAAATCACTAAAGACCGATTAAAAGCAACCATAGCCTATCTCTTTGATTCTTCTAATCTAGGTAATTCTTCACGAAGACTTGCATGCTCGTGAGCAAGGTCTTGAGCTTCAAACTGTAATGTGGCAGCCTCGACAAACAATATGGCCTTATGAGCATGAATCTGGTCGATCTCTTTTTGAAGGACTTTCTCTCTTTCCTCAAGGCTGATGAATTCTGTGTTCACTCAGTCAAAGGTGGAAGCTTGAGTTAACAACTAGTTACCAAGAATTTCCTTCCTGCTCTTGCTTTTATTGAATTGATTGATCGATTCATTGGCTTGAAAAATCTCACCAGCTAAAGCTGGCAGTTGACCTTTGAAAGTAGCAATGGTGGCTTGCAGGTCGACTGGGAAGTCTAGATACTGACTGAGTGTAGTAAGGATAGCCGTGAGCTCACTTTCAAACTTAGGAAGATCAACAACATCTCTTTGCAAGATTTCAACCAAAGTTCTTTTTGGTTTTTTCTATGGTTTGTATTGGAACACTAGCTGAGGTAACTGGAGTCGCTCCTGAAGATTCACTCTCTCTTTCCTCAGTCACTGAGGCCACCACATCTTTTAAGAAATTACTCAAGGCCAAAAGGGAAGAAGCAGGAGCTTTTGGTGGAGGAAAGGAAGGAATAGCTTGAGTTTTTTCATGCACAACCTGTCAATATGGAAAAAGGTTAGAAGTTTAATTTTTAAAGTATGAGTAAAATTACAGGTATGATATAGTCAATACTTTGGATGATTTGGCCATAGTTGCATCCAAATATGACTGATGGCTGACTACTGGTGGAAACTTTGGCTGAAGAGCTGTGCTGTCTCCTTGAGATAAAGCTTTGGCCAGAGTGACTTGAACATTTAAGGGTACCTCAATGGGTTCATGAAAATCCTTCAAATGACTAAAATTCCTAACTGGGCTATAGACCAAGTCAAGAAGTGGAGATTGATGCAAAAAAGAAATCAATGATGTTACAAAAAGTGATGAGGTTAAAAGCTTAGGTAAAAGTTATCATTACCTCTTTTTCATCTAAGGAATGATCAGAAAGATCATTAGCTACATTAATTATGGGGTCATCGGTCAGTCCAATCACAAGATCATCAGCCACTTCTTCTGTAGGCTGAGGGCTTTCTGGATCCTTCTTTACCTCATGTTTCTTACTCTTACTGAATTTTGTCCTCTTTAGAGTCCCATGAGCAGTTGGTTTTTTCTTTTTCCCTGAAGGAGGAAATTTTATTAAAGATAGTCTCGGCCGATAATAGTTGTGGCCGAGAATTAAGTATCAATATTGGCCAAGTATTTCAGTTATACGGCCGATATGGTTATCTTCGTATGCTAATGAGTATAAATTTTTACCTTACCTACAATTGGATGGGCTGGAGGAACATCAAGGATGATGGCTAATTCAGTTGTTGTAGGCTGAGGAGGGTGACTGGAGAAAATTTCATCATCTTGAGGCTTATTGTTCTCTAGATTTTTTTAGGCTGACAAAGTTTCATCATCTGAATCTGCAAAAGGGTAAGAGAATTTAGCTTAAAACTTTTAAATATATGTATGAAAATAAAGGAGGAATATACCTTTGAGAAGGCTGGCTGTGGCCTTTGCCTTAGCTTTTCTCTCTTTATTTATCCTTGTTGGAGCATCTTTTGGCTGAGAGAAAGGAAGTTTTTTGGCCGTTTGTTTCTTGCCTTTGGGAGGATCTTTTTGAGGTACTTTCTTTGGGGTAACAGCCCGAGTAATTACAAATGCCTCTTCAAAGGCCACATATATGAATTTAAATGATTCCAAGATTTTAATGACAATAGACTGGCACTCAGCTGTCCTAGTGGAAGTAATGTAGGAAGACCACCATTAGTTAAAACTGGAATCTGAGGCTGGATTCTTGATGAAAGGTTGGAATTTAAATCCAGCTTGCAAATTAGAAAACCAAGTGGATACATTTCTAACATAAGACTCATCCGAGAATACCACATGCCGGTGAAAGTTTTTGTTGAAGGACAAATAAGGAGACATGGGAATCATTTGAGTCAGGCCGAATTGCCTAGCAAGCTAACTAGGGTTACAGAATTCAACCCCAACTTTTGAATTCACCGTCCCTAAAGGGCCAGTATTGAAATGAAGATCCCTTGGAATAAGAAAACTGGCCCACATGGCCGATAGTTCAAAAGTAGTTTTTTTATGGATACTCCTTGAGGAGGAGTCAGCCATCAAGGGGCCTTAGAACAATGGGAAAATGGAAGGAATTGGCTTATGGTCTTGTGCTCGCAGCCAGAGTAGAAGAAATTGAAGCAATCTCCAAATGAGTGAGATTTGGGCACGGCCGATGCATAACTCACAGAAAGTAATGGGTCATTGGCCAATGGCCTCACCACAGGCCCAGTGGTTGGTGGTGTGTCGTCGTTCTACCACAAGCCTAGAGAATGTGCATTAAGGTGAGGGCCAAGTTTTACATTTATAGAAGCCACTACTACCTTTCACTATAAATATAGCTCGGGCGAGTAGGGATCGTCCCAAGGGATTGTGAGGGTCGAACAAGATTATGGAATCGCTATTAGGTCTAGTAGGTTGAGTGATCAAACAATTGGTTGGTCGGTTGATTAGACTAGAGAGCAACTAAATTAAACTAAGTGATAACAAAAGAATACAACTAAGAGCAAATAAGAGAGAGAAGAGTCTTGGAGTTTAGAGATCACCACCAAGCAATGCATTTCTATACCATTGACAAGTGACTAATGAGGGCAAATGGTGTGTTGCAATATTGGTGTGTGTGTGTGTGTGTGTTTGGTTGATTCAACAAGCAAGGATGACTAGTTAAGCATATATTGTCTGAACATCATGTGAAAGGCACAATATATCTAAGCAATGAAGCACATATTGTCTAAACAACATGTGGAAGGCACAATAGATTAAAACAAGTCATTAATCCTTTCATTAAGCTCACAATCCAAATACAACACAAGGTTAGAGACATATGCTACTTACATTCAAAAGCATGGATCATCAAACAAAAAGCATGGATTGTCCTCCCTTCTAACAACTGCACTACAACTACATTACATCTACACTACTAGCATGAAAATAAACTAAAGGAGAGGCACAATCCATCAAGGAATAAGTATGAACCATCAAGAAAATCACAAGAGCATTCCATGAAGCACTATGTTTTGACAATCTCTAGATCTATAGCATCAATACACATAGACATCCATCAATAACACAAAATCTAGAGACAAGGACATGAACATCTATTTTAACATACATAGACATATGGGTAGAATGAAATGATCAATTGAAAGCATTTAACCACATAAATCATTGAACAATCAAAATCTATATATATCAAAGTGTCAAAACATTAATTACAACACTAATCTCTCAATAATACACAAGATTAAGATATAGATAGAAAGCATGCTTGGGGCTAATTTTAGCCCCAAGAGGATGTCTAGCCACTCATGGTAGTGCTTCTCCAACCCTCAAGGGCTAACTCCATGGTAGAGATTTGCTCCTTGGATGATGAAGAGTCTCCAATGGTGTCTCTAGCCTCCTCCTCCTCTAAGCTTGCTCTCCAAGAGATGATATGATATTAGCTCCCCCTTGTAAAAAGTAATCCTTATCCTTATATAGGTAGGTCAAATGAACCCAAAAATAAGCTGGGGTCGTGCACACAGTATTCCCTAATGATTGGATAAAGGACAACTTTCAATGAGCTAGAAATTTAACTTTTTCGCACTGGAGGAAGTTCAATCGATCGAACCTTGGACTTGGATTGATCGAACATTGCTAAGATCCATCGAACTTAGGCTGGATCGATCTTCATTGGTGGCGCTTTTTGGATAAAGACAAATCTGAGATATTTTGAAGATATTTTTGGGAAAAGGACAAAAGTAGTTGGTAGGGTGGTATAACTAGATAAGATCAATCATTTGGATAAGGACAAAGCAGTTCGATCGATCGAAGAATGATGTTGGATCGATTGAACTTTTGAGATCTCTAAAAATGTCATCATGGCTCTGATCCATCTTGAAGTGCTGAGATCGATCATGTTGGATAAATCGAACTTTGCTTTGAGATCAATCGAAGATGTTGATTTCCACCTTTTCCTTCCTTTTGCTTCCACTTGGCTCTTTTCTTTGATTCATCCTAGAATTGCTTCAGTTAAGCTCTTATTTGGCTGAGTTAGCTTATTTTTGGGATAAGTGCCTGAAAATGGAAATAATATGAAATCAATCTAAAACGGCAAAGTAAGATAGATAAAGGTACTAGAATGCCTAAGCTTAAGGGGTTTAAATACGCATTTTTCAGCGCTCATCAAGGCCCTAACTCAGGAAAGTATACTTGTAGCCAAATTTGAAATAGCCAAACGGGGCAACCATAACGACCAAAGTTGGAAGTAAGTAAGTTATAAATTCCTTGGTATAAATGGGAAAGCACTAAAGGGGCCAGAGCAAGGGGTTTACCTCTGGAAAGAGCCACGACCACATGGATGTAATCTTTGGTAACTTGAAAGTCTGGCACACATAGAAGGAACTTATTCAGCCAGGCTAATAAGAAGGAAATATGTATGGCCTCATTTACAGGAACACGAGGATCCAAGGTGGAATTTAAATACTTGCCATATGAAGGCTCGAAAGATTTGGCTTCGGTTTGCTTTGAAGGAAAGATGAAGGGAGAATCCTCCTTTATCAATAAGCTGCTCACGTTAATCCTAAAAGGCT